CACACACAGCTGTAGTGTGCGCATAGTATTTATTTAGCTGCAGTGGCTGCAGGATTGTGTGTGTTTATTTCCTGCACTGCACAGAGAGTCAGCAGCTGGTGCTCAGCGCAGGTCCCTCACCTCCAGCTCCTCGTCCATCCTCTCCGCGCCCCGCCTGTCGTTCTGCACGGCGTTGTAGGCTGTGTACACCCTCTCTTTCCGCATGTGCTCGGGCTTCACCACCGTTCCGTGCAGAATCAGCTTCCAGCTCACAATCCTGCCCTCGTTCTCCATCCGGCCAGACTGCACGCACGAGGAGGAGAGAGTGGAGCACTGTGAGCCCCGTTAGCCCACAGCGCCTGGGACTCACACTGAACTCGTCACACGCATGCTGTGTGCTTTTGTGGTCGATTGTGTGCTCCTGCTGTTTTCTGTGTCCTTTTCAGCATCAGTAACCATCAGGAGGTTACCTGGACAGAGCAGCAGTGAAAGCAACGAACATCTGCTCCTGCCAGCCAGTTTAAACCCATTTATCCCACCTGGGCTGCCCGACAGTGCTGGGGACCAGATTTGATGAACTGGTTTGCGGCGAGTTTTATCAGATGACTGGACTATCTCAGAATAGCACACTCAGCAGCTTGCAAAACTGTACAGCTTTTTTCCAGTTTTTGTTCGATTACAAATGATTCAAGAGCAAGTTTCTGTGTGAAACTTTGAAGATCAAATTTGAACCGAATATTTTTTGGGAAGTTAAAAGTCGGCTGTCTATCCGTTTTCCATTTTCCACACTCTTGATCCAGTTCAGAGTCAGGGGGGAGCCAGAGCCGATCCTGGCAGGCGACGGGCACCGGGCAGGGTCCGCCCAGGATCGAGCACCTCTCTATCGCAGGGCAGACTGACGCAGACACCCGCACCAGGGCCACGTTTCCTGGAAGCCTATGAACCCAGCAGCAGGTCTCCGGACTGCGCGAAGAAACCGGAGCACCAGGTGAACACAGGGAGAACATGTGGACTCCACACGGACAGCACCCCAGGACTCCACACGGACAGCACCCCAGGAGTTGAGCCCAGAGCCAAGGCCCTGCGAGGCAGCAATGCTCACCACTGCACCCCTGGTCCGCCCTCAATCACAAACACCCCCTTTCTAAATCATCTGTGATTGGGCAGCCGAGTGACAGAACGCTGCCCCTCTCACAGGGCTCTGCGCAGCGCCTGCTGGAGCTCGGGCCGGGACCCACCATGTCCGCGATCTTCAGCGTCCAGGTGCCGGCAGGGTCCTCCCCCCAGGTGTGCACGGACATGAAGTCCCAGTTCCTGAAGCCCCTGGAGGAGGTGTCGCGCTCCCTCTCGGCCAGCAGGACCGTGCTGGTGCCTGGCGGCAGGAGAGCACAGAGGAGCGGTGAGGCGAAATGAGCACAAGGCCGGGCGACGCCAGAGAGGTGTGCTGCTTCATCTG